GCTTTAACCACTAGGCTACCCGACTGCCCGCCCCTGTTATATGATAGGGGCCTGGAAATAACTGAATCATACCGGTAAATGAAAACCCACACAATCCAAGCCATTAGTCCAGGATGACATGCAATCAGACATGTCTCCATGGTCACTGAACATGCTGAGCTGGACCATCCTGTCGTAGAGGTACTTGAGAACTTTTATGAAAATACTGACTCTTTAACACAACAGTAGTGAATCAGGGGGCACAGCTGGACAAGTTTTTCATGGCCTCATAAATCATTGTGCAGAGTTGTGCCCCCTTACACCTACAAGCTCCTCACAGCAATATACAGTTCGCAGAGCTCTTTATACTATAAGCTCTATATCAGGAGTGTAAGGAAAGCATCACACGCTAGGAAGGAGCTAGCACGTATCTACTACAAGCCGATTCATATCCCTGAAAAAGAAGATAGTGTTGATCATCTATGCCATCTGGGTTTATGTTTACTCTTTGAAGAGGCTCACTGCCAATACTACTTTCTTTCTTTGTTTTTAGTTTATGTAGTTCATATCGTACTCGGCAATATTCCAGCTGTATGACAGTGGTCTGTAAATAATAAAGTCTGGACCAGACAATCCAGTGATTGACATCATGAACATCAATCCAAGCATTTGAGATAGCTGAAATGCAACCAACCAAGTCACAGAGCCTGACCACCCGATCCAGTGAGCTGCCTCTTATGATAAACAAGGGTTGTTGGGGACCTACATTCTGATTGAGAATCTCCAAACTTGAGCTGACATGATGTGATATCACTTATATACTGTTCAATCACTCATTCCCAACACTGAATCTTAGCGCTAAGATTTCTTTGAGGAACAGAGCCCAGGACTTATCACAGCTGCAATGTATTTACAGATAAGGTTGTATATCCTATGTACACTGATATGTAGGAAAATAGACTATAAGACAAGGTTGCATTCAGAATTTCAAGTCAAATAGGAAAATTAGAAGATCTGCAATCATATATACCTTCTTATTTTCAACTGGATATTAAATCAGTATTTATTGAATAGGATTTTGCAAAATTATCTTGATTCATGGCAAATATAGATATATATATTTCGAATAACTGAATATATTTGTTTGTTGTTTAACGCCGCACTCAGGAATATTCAAGCTATATACAATGATATAACAGTGGTCTGTAAATAATCGAGTCTGGACCTAACAATCCAGTGATTGATATCATGAGCACCGATCTACGCAATTGGGATACGATGACATGCATCAACCAAGTCAGCGAGCCTGACCACCCGATCCCATTTGTCACCTCTTACGACAAGCACAATTACCTTTTATGGCAAGCATGGGTTGCTGAAGACCTTTTCCACCCAAGGTCTTCACGGGTTTAACTGAATGTAACAAAAACACTTTTGCTCTTGAACTGTTTTGTATGTCTTCTCATTTTGTTACAATTTGAATGCAACCTTCCAACTAATGCCAGTAACAGCAACAGCCAGTATGTTGTGTCGGTTCTCCTACATTCAATTAAATACAAGCAGTAGATTTAATATATCACATGGGACTAAAATCAAGTCTTGTTAATTAACACACAACAAAGAAAACAAATAGTATTTGATTACATTTCTAGCAAACATCATTTAAATGGCACAATATTTGTAAAGATTGTAAACCCTAAAGCCATTTTTGAAACTGTAATGTTAACATCCTCACATATATGATAATAAACATAGATCATATATCAAGACAATACATCATGTTCATGGAACATTAATTTTGATTACTTATTAATTATCACAAAACTGAACAATATTACAATATAACAGTACTAAATTAGATATCAGTGTTATTCTAAGTTTGAACTTCTAAAAGTAAACAACATATAGTGCTATTGCAAAGTCTGTGGCAGTTTTCAATAAAGTAATAATTCGTTCATAGGACAGAGAAATACAATTAATAAAACATTAAAAAATACCATGGAAAAATGGCTCCAAAATAAGAGCTGGAATACGGAAAACAATAACAATACAGATGTCTCCCTTACCTTTAGGACAAAGCCAATAAAGGCTGGACATTTGGAGCAATCTATTAAGAACCTGATTTACACGAATGTTATTATTTTCATATTACATGTTTGCAGGGGTGAAAATAAATTTTATATGTTTTTTGTCAAAAGTCAAGCCTTAATTACAGGAATGCTTTGTACTTGTGGTATTCGTATGAACATCAATCATATTGTGAGAAAACACAAGAGCACTTTTATGATGACTTTGGGTAAAGGACAATTGATTTAGGCTGACACTGACCCTGATGAAATATTAACCCAAACGGATGAAATATCTCACATTGTAGATCCAAAGTAAAATGCGTGTTTTCATTCATAAACGTTTGGAAATAACTTGTTTGATCAAACTTGGCATGAATATTGTATATACGTTAAAGTTTGATTATATTTAAAACCGCAGAAACCTCTGAAGAAATAGTTGCATCAACACCTTTTTCACAAGGTTGAGTGAGTTTTAGTAACAATTTTTCCACTCCTGTTCAGTAACAATAGAATGTACAGTAACATCATGAAACATTGTTAAGGCAATCTTATTAAAATCAGATCTTTTAATCTGATGCGATACCTGTGTGTGTAAAGATGTGTGGACATCAATGGGTGCGAGAGTTGTGTTTTAACTCTGCTTTGAACATAATTCTTGTTATATCACAGTGTGTCATCTTAGTGTGAGAGGAAAGACCGAAGTGATGCAGGTCTCTGACGTTTACCACTTTGGTGACACCCACAAGCACGGGTATGGTGCTGACAAACCTAGAAACATAATCGGGGCAAACTGGGATCTCGGTATAAGTGAGTGAAGCATTCAAACCATTCAAACTGATTTCTAATTGTCATAGACGAACAAAAGGACAAATTCTGAAAGTACAAATACAAGTAGCACTACTATTTTATCGTGGATATTTTATACATCCAGTGGTTACTGAGTGACTTTCTACAGGATGTCCTGAGATCTTAATGGAGAGAGATACCATATGGGAGTAAATGTGACTTTAATGAGAATGATCATTAAGGAAGAAGTTAACAATTTACACAATATTAACTTCAGGTACAAAACAAAATCAAAACAGTTTCACTACCTAAAAGGGCAACAACACTCCAACTTGGAAAGCATTAAGATATGGATAGCTTTCTTCTTCACAGATTCAAAATTTGCTTATAATGGACTTGAATATCAAATAGTTTGACTTGTGTTCAGAACTAAATGACGTCTTGTGATTACGTGGGCGCCAGAGAGACCCTGAGAGCTGGAGAATTGTTGCCCTTTAAGGTTGGGTATTCTTTGCACTTCCACAGGACTTACATACCGTATTTGACGTAATAAGCGCCCCGCTCTAATAAGCGCCCACAGCGATATTTGCTAATATATTGGCTAGTGAACAATCCCAATCAGCACCAATACAGGCTGGACATTTGGAGCAATCTATTAAGAACCTGATTTACACGAATGTTATTATTTTCATATTACATGTTTGCAGGGGTGAAAATAAATTTTATATGTTTTTTGTCAAAAGTCAAGCCTTAATTACAGGAATGCTTTGTACTTGTGGTATTCGTATGAACATCAATCATATTGTGAGAAAACACAAGAGCACTTTTATGATGACTTTGGGTAAAGGACAATTGATTTAGTCTGACACTGACCCTGATGAAATATTAACCCAAACACAGGACTTACATACCGTATTCGACGTAATAAGCGCCCCGCTCTAATAAGCGCCCACGGCGATATTTGCTAATATATTGGCTAGTGAACAATCCCAATCAGCACTCCTTCCGTTTGATCAATGTACACAAGACTTATTTATTCGCGTATAATACGCACTCATGTGTTATATGCATTCATAATTATGGGCAATTAAATTCTGGAAAAATGTATCTGTCACAAATAAACATTTCAGTGTGTCAGCATAAACCATGAAATTTATCTTTCAACTCTCTTTTTTCCACCAAAAAAATATTCTAATAAGAGCCCCCTATTTCTAATTTTGAGAGCGCCCTAGGCGCTTATTACGTCGAATACGGTATACACTTATGTTATTTAGTCTAGTCTCTCATTTCCATCTCTGAATATAAATACCATGAAATGATAAACAGCTGTCTAGTTTCATACAACATTATTAATGGACAACCAAAACCAATGGCATCAAACTAAGGATAAACATGACTTGCATTCATGTACTGTAAACTGGAACATGTTTATAGTAACCACAGGAATGAGTCAAAACATTAAACTTGCAGACTGTTCATCTTAACATTCATGTGCATATACCGTTGTAGTTGCACATGCTGTAGTTGTGGACGATGTTGTTCAGGTGATATGTGGAAGGTTTAGGTAACTTGATATGTTCACAATTTGCTAACATATGACTTCGAAAAAATGAAATTTCGTTCAAAACAGGATATTCTAATTTACTTGCCTTGAGTAGTAATTAACATTGTACTTTATGTTAACTTAAGCATCATGGCATCTCCCTCTTTATTGGTCCTGTTACCAGTGAAATACAATAATCACCTCGACCAAGCTATCACTTAAGTTAATCCATTATAACATGAATTTGGAAATTCTTTGCAATCCTGTTTTGAGTTTAGTTATTAGGGTGGACATGAATTAAAATATGTGTGAATTATGTGAGACCTTCAACAGTTGGCACCAGTGTGAGTAAATATTGGTAAAATATAGAACTCTAGAGCAACATTGCACTTCAATCAGCATTCAGTCCCACCGTAGTAAGATTAACATACGGCTTAAAAAAATAATAGAATTCGTTCTCAGGCAACGACTTTTGAAAATATAGTGCGGGCGGGCAGTGTTTTGTTTAATTTCTTTTGCTTGTTCAAACAAGTATGTAACCAAAAAAACAGTTGTGTACCATCAACCTGGGAAAGGGCCTCCCTACATAAACAAGAACATACAAACTCCTATTGCTGCCATGACCATAACACAAGATGCACAGTAAAGCAGTGCGCATGTAAAGGGAAGTAACTGTGTGCTATATTGGATCGCATTGTTTTTAAGTATAAGGATTTTTTCACGTTTTTTGAAAATGGAAATAAAAAGGAAATGTGCAGCAGACTTTCTGATGATGCAGGCGGTGCCTGAGAACTAAAACTATTTTTTTTTTTAGCCTAACAAAATAAAACATGTGCATTGATTTATGTTGACTTCTTCAAACATTTATCTTACATATTGGATTTGGACTGTGTTTGTTGGCAATACTTCCAATGTGAAAAACTCATAAATATACTGGTATGAAATATGTAGTTATCAACAAGTAATAATTCTGCCTAACAACTCGACATTGAAAACAATGACTATGTCTTTATTTATGGTAATAAATATTGTTTTCACTGTGTGTTCGAGGTTATGACAATTATTGCTTTGGAACCTTTACACAACGTGCTTAGATATAGTATGGCCACAGCCAAATACAGAACATCCTCAATTATCCAGTGTATAATATCTCCTTTTAATTCTAATAAATCGTTATGATAGGGCTGAAATATTGCCGATGTGACGTTAAATTTCTATTCTGACAAATACCCTTGACCAATTCGCTAGTTTCCTTTTCAGCCCAATTTGAATGACACAATGTGAAAATAGCAATCCAACTCTCTGTGTAGGGGACTTACTAAATTACTGATAACAGAGCAGCTTCTGAAATGAAGTAATGATGGCGAACGGGTCTTGGCTATGTATTGTGATAGAATGGAGACACTGGATAATCGCGATATATATAACAGTCCTGAACCTTTAAAGCAGGCATTGCACAGCATTGCTACAAAAATGTGATACAATGCTTCTTACAGTAAACATATGACTAGTGTTGTTTGCTTAGGTCCCCTCTGAAATATATACACTGTTAATTATGCAGTGGTTAAAAGCAGATGAGCTGAACTCTGTATGTGTATCTTGAGAGACATTTTGGAATCAAATAAATAAGTTTAACATTTTTAAGAAAATGTTGTAAAACAAGTCAAATGACACCACAAATATTGTCTGATAAATAGATCATGTATAATTAACAATAACAGACTAGGTCAACCCCGATTGTTTCAATAATCAGGACTTTCAACAGATCTCACTCCATCACATGCTTGAATTCATCTAGTTAATTAAACTAATCAGTTCCTCATAAGGACACAACCAATATTTATTACTGATTCATATCATAAACACCATAATCAAGACTCCAGGAATGATTTGATGCCTGACTTCTGTTAACCAATCAGAAACAGCATAGTCTACTTCCAATTTGAGTCCTGACCAATCAGAAGCAGTGTATGTCACTCCTCCTTCGTGTCTTAACCAATCAGAACTTGCCGTCTGCTCCTGCTCCTGCCCCGCTATTTGTGTCATGAGTCTGGAGAGTTTGACTGTATTGTTAAGGAAAAATTAAGCAACAAACCTGTAAATGTCCCATCCCATTATAATTTGTTAGAAATACATTCTCACCCCAAGATGTAAAAAAAAAATAACTGCAAATAATTGTCGATGCCAAGGAACACAACCTTGGACTTATCTTCTTTCTTTTTTAATTCACATTCTTTCTGAATCCAGTTGCAAATAAAACTTCGCACCACCAATGAAATGATTTGATTCTAACAGATTATCAACGAATGTCTCAGCAGCCAAGAAGGTGGTTAGAAACATGATACATTGGTTGATTTTATCATAGTTTATGTATCTAGTTGGTAATTCAATGTTGTCTCAGTTTACAATGAACCTTTATCTCTCATCATTGTAGATGCTATTTGCATATTATCTTGCATTTATTTCAGCAAATGAATAAAAAGTTTAACAGTATGAAAACAGCAGGTTGGACTAGTGGAGTGAGTAAGTATGGTTTTACGCCGCTTTTAGCAATATTCCAGCAATATCATAGCGGGGGAAACCAGAAATGGGCTTCACACATTGTACCCATGTGGGGAATCAAACCTCGGTCTTTGGCATGACAAGTGGACGCTTTAACCACTAGGCTACCCCACCGCCCCTGGACTAAATGGAGTGAGTGAGTGAGTATGGTTTCACGCCGCTTTTAGCAATATTCCAGCAATATCACAGCGGGGGACACCAGAAATGGGCTTCCCACATTGTACCCATGTCGGGAATCGAACCCGGGTCTTCGACGTGACGAGCGAACGCTTTAACCACTGGGCTACCCCACCGCCCCTTAGCATCATCTCGGGCTTGAACTACTTCTCTCAACCAATCGCCCCTCTCAACAATCATGCATGCATGCACGCTAGCCCCTTAAAAAGAGGGTGTAATGTTGTGCAGACCACCACTGCAATAGTAGACACAGTGCTGACAGACCAGCAGATCCAGACAAGGCTAAGGGGGGCAACTCTGCCCAGGTTAATCGTGCACTTGTTGCTGCAATAACATGTAACATCTATATGCTCAAAGGATACATGGAGGTACTGAGTCCATGAAGCTGAAACAAACATCCAGAAGAAAAGAGTGAATACACAGTATTTCATTTGACAACATATCACAGTGAGTGAGTTGGGTTTAACGCCTCTTTGAACAGTATTTCAGTTATATCATAGCGTGTCAGCTTGATATGGGAGGAAAGCCCGCAGTGATGCAGGACTCAGAAATTTACCACTTTGGTGAAACCAACGAACAAGCATATGGTGCTGACAAACCTAGAAACATGATTGGGCCTAACCGAGATTCGAACCCACAATCATAGCTTACTTGCACACCCAAGAGACGCAACTCGAATTGCACACAAATTGTGTCGCCTTAGACGACTGGGCCACCCTTGCCTCCACGACATATTACAGCCTGTCAGATTAACACGTAAGCTCAAATTGATGCTGTTCTTGGACATTCACCACTTTGGTTGATGCAAAAGCATGGTTATGGTGCTGGCAAACCAAGAATCATTATCAGAATAATTCTTGGATTCAAACCCATGATCATAGGATACTGTCACACAAGAGATGCAACACTGAACAGCGAATTGCAGCACAAAGGACAACTGGGCCACCATGAACAGAAGTCATGATCAAGTCCATGAAGTCAGGGTGGTGGCATGATGCTTACTGGCTTACACATGATTTGAAAACAACTCATATAATGAGTGAGTGAGTGAGTTGGGTTTAACGCCGCTTTTAACAGTATTACAGTTTGACGCGGCATGTCAGCTTAATGTGGGAGGAAAGCCCAAAGTGATGCAGGTCTCAGACGTTTACCACTTCGGTGAAACCCATGAGCACCGGTATCGTGCTGACAAACCTAGAAACATATTCGGGGCGAACCAGGATTCGAACCCACAATCACAGGTTTCTGGCGTGTCCAAGAGACGCAACTCTGCACAGCGAATCGCTGCGCTTTAGACGACTGGGGCACCCGTGCCCGCAATTCATATAATGACAAATGGATGCAAATATTATCCTCTGTGAGTTCCATTGGGATGCAAAAGAGTATGGATGGTGAAAAATGAGAAACTTATTATAGAACTTAGATTTTAACATGCAAATTTGATGTATATGACAAGCAATACAGCCAGAATATCAATGTTCAGAGAGCCCAGGTCAGATTTTCTTTTGATTCAAACAAAGTAATTCCTTTCTGAAAGAGTCATACAGAATCACACATACTTGGCAGAAGTGAGGTGAAATTGGGTTTAACGTCGCGTCCAAGATTATTGCACTTATATAGCGCTGTGCATGTATGTGTGTGTGTTTGTGTGGCTGCTTGTACTAGTCCGGACTGATGCCGATTTATAGTGCCAGCTCACTGAGATACCATGCCACAGTTTAACATGAATACCCCACTCAGATACAGTATACTGACTCCGAGCCGACCAGTCCTTGTTTTAGCCCCTTAATGCCGAGCGCCAGACAGGGTAACAACAAGTACCATCTTTTAACGTCTTTTGGTATGACGCGGCCGGTTCTGTTGCATTTTGTCTTTTCAGGTAATGTCATGAAAAGAATGTACAAGGATATGAGGAGGGTCATCCAAGATTATGACAGGAATTAGGGGAGGGTCGTTACTTTCAGTACATTTGAGCATTTAAAACCTCTGACCCACCCATCCCTGTAATTAATGACCAGGCCCTAAGAAGAGATAAGGTGTGGCTATTCATCTACCTGGTCAATGAGTTTGGAGAGATTGTCATTAGCAGTTGTCCTCGCCTCATCTGAATTCAACCTGAAAATTAAAATAGAGACAATTAGGCTAAAAAAGATAAGAGGTTTGGTTCTCAGGCACCACCCGCATCATCATAAAGTCTGCTGCATGTTTTGTTTTTAATTTCCATTTTCAAAAAAGTAAAAAAATCCTAATACTTAAAAACAATGCGATCCAATATAGCACACAGTTACTTCCCTTACATGCGCACTGCTTTACTGTGCATCTTGTGTAATGGTCATGGCAGCAATAGGAGTTTGTATGCTTGTTTGTGTGGGGAACCATTTCCCAGGTTGATGGTACACAACTGTTTTTTTGGTTACAAACTAGTTTGAAAGAGGAAAAGAACAAAAAAACAAACGCTGCCTGCCCTCACTATATTTTCAAAAGTCATTGCCTGAGAACCAATTCTATAATTTGTTTAAGCCTTATACAACCAGTGACAACCAGTGACAACCAATGAAGCATGTGTACTTCACACTGCAACCTGGTCAGTTCAGTAAATTAAGTTGCTGGATACAACTGATGATATCTTCAAGCAATGTGTTGTTGTTGTTGTTGTTGTTGTTGTTGTTGTTGTTGTTGTTGTTGTTGCTGTTGTTGTCAACACATCACTGACCTGTGCATGTCCTGCTGGATGTCCATCTCAAAGTGGAGTCGGGCCAACTTCTCCTGCTGCTCCCGGATCTGGTCCATCTTCTCGAACGTTGCACCCCCACCTGAATGTACATCACGTTACACTGAATGTGCTGTAACCAATGTTTCTTTGCCCCTAATCATCAAATAGATTACCTTGACAACATTCCCAAAGCTCTGAAGCTCACCTTAACATTCCCGGAATATTTGTCGCAAGATTTCATAAAGGTCAAACAAGTGAAATCAATAGTATGTGTAAAAAGTAACAAAACTTCCACCCAATCATTTCAAGGTGAGCTAAAAATTAATTTTTCAGCAAAACTAAAAGGGCAGACAAGTTTCAAAACAAATAAGAACTCTCTCAACAGAAAATGCATTAAGTAAATAAGTTTCATCTGACATAAGCTTGAGCCTTCAGTCAAGCCAAGCCATAACTGTCTGGATTTACAATATAACTCTTTACAGCATTAATTAAAAAAAATGGATCACTTTGAGTTACCACTGTGCTCAATATTTTACCAAAGGCTCGTAGTTTCCCTGAATGGAAGTCTTCCAGTAATCCCAACAGGCCCTGCTCCATTTCCCTCACATCGGCAACATCAGTTAGGAATGAGTGCTCCTCACAGGGTCGAGATGCTTCTGTCACACTGCGGTCAAGTTTGTCTGCAATGAGTGAGTGAGTTTGGTTTAACACTGCTTTGAACAGTTACATCACAGCGTGTCAGCTTGATGTGAGAGGAAAGCCTGAAGTTATGCAGGTCTTAGGTATTTACCACTTTGGTGAAATACCACTTTGGTGAAACCCATGAGCTGACAAAGCTAGAAACAAGATCAAACCCACAATCCTTGGTTTCTGGCTTGACCAAGGGAGGCAACTTTGCACAGCATATTGCGGTGCCTTAGATGACTGGGCCACTCATGATCCCAATTTCCACTGTGTAATATTAGCAATAGCAAACATCTATCATGATGGGGTTTGTATTAAAAGAGATTATAATCATGAAAATTATCATGACAATGATTGCAGATCTAACTATTTTCCATGTCATGTTGTCCTAGATAATGTACAATACACAAAACAAAGATGGCAGCTTTAGAAATAGGGTATTTGGTGATGTATTATACATACAAGAATGTGAGTGAATGTGGTTTTATGTCAGTCAGCAATACTTGAGCTATATACATGGATTTATATAGGATTCTCTGTGTCCCTGGCAGGCAAATTTGGGGATAAAATTAGTATTTTTTACCAAAATTGGGATCTGTTTTTAAGCTATTATTTTCTTACTATTGGCCCTTTTAATCAGTGAAGTACAAGTCACCTACACAAAGACATAACATCCAGTTTTATCAGTGAGTGAGTGAGTGAGTGAGTGAGTGAGTGAGTGAGTGAGTGAGTGAGCAGCTATATTCCGGCAATATTAAGGTGTGGCACACCAAAAAGGAACAGAAATCAAACCTGGTCCTTTGGCATGATGGGTGTTTGTTTGTTCTTTAATACCACACTCAGGAATATTCCAGCTTTATGATAGCGGTCTGTAAATAATCAAGTCTGGACCAGACAATCCAGTGATTGACCTCATGAGCGTCGTTCCACGAAATTGGGATACGATGACATGAACCAGCCAAGTCAGCGAGCCTGACCACCCAATCCCGTTAGGTGCCTCTTACGACAAGCATAGTCGCTTTTTACAGCAAGCATGGGTTGCTGAAGACCCAGGATCTTCACAGGTAGCACTATAACCACTACCTTAGCACCTGAAAGTTTTATGACATATTTTGCCAGGAAACCTCACAGAGAAATACATACCATACCAGAGCTTGATTTAACTGAATACAAAATGCACTAGTGCAACCTGTTATTGAAAAGTGCAATCTAATATTTATGTCTACATGTAAAAATTTGCATGTAAAAACATTTGAAATGTGTGTCTGAATAACCCTTACTTTTCCAACCAACAACGACCTATTAACACACTCAATACCTCAATTTGGGACCTATATACTTAACAAGCATGGTGCAAATAAAATATATTCAGATTATGAATATGAAATATGATCATGATGATATACATCATGATAGTTCGGTAACACTTGTGGCATGATTTGAGAAGAAAATGGACTCAGGTTGATAGGTTTTGAAAAAAACATAATCCCAACATACTTTTAGCTTTCCTGTCCATGGGTAGATGAGAGTAGACATTTTGTTGCTGGGATGTTTTCTTCTTGCTGCGACTGTTACCATGAGATTCCTTCTTTCCCTCTCTAGGTAGACCATCATGGCTGGCCATATTTTCTAACATGCGAATAATAACTTCCTGAATGTTCTGAAAAGAGAATTATCATATCTAAGTTCTTTTCACCATAGATGAGTACCACAATGTTATGTCTGCAAAGTTGCCAACCGAGGCCATACACCGATATATATAGTCTCTTGCACTATGGTCACGAGAATGTCAAAACAGCTATGGACATGTCAAAACAGACATAGTTTAATAACCATCTATTATGGTATTCATGGGTCCATGATGGTGGGGACCTAAATACTGCAATTCACAATGTAAATACTTGATGCAAATTAATAAATACATGTGTACAGAAAACAAAATATTTTATTTCCGTTGCTAGCGTTGTCAATCAAGCTCAAACAAGTCTTGTTTTGCTATCTGACATGTTAATCTAGACTTAATCTTATTGTTTACGGATTTAATTCCCACAGGTTGTTGTTTTATGGAATCATTGAATGATTTCAATCGGATTCATCGTTCTGATTAATCCTTATTCAGACTAAAACATAGATTAATTCAGTAATCTCGAAATACGTTTGCTTTATTACACTGATCGAAAACTGGACATGTCGGCAAGATGCCAAGTTAGATTGCTGAAATTTGTACTACGCTTCGAGTTCGCATTACGTAACTAAATACCTACTTCAAATCACCTAGATGTTCTACCCCAACATCAAAACCTTCTCCTGTCAGTATCTGCACAGTTCTCTTGGTTTACATTGCTATTTTTATGGTAAAACGTGATGAAAACACTTGTTTAGTTTACGACGATTTCCCAATAAGGGAAATAACTCCTGACCAATATCCGGTGAACTTGATAGAAGTCGATGATGTGTCAACTGACTGCATGTTTTCACTTCGTTCGAATCTTGACATATCTGTTTTCGCAAGGACAAAGAATGACAAAGTATTTAGATAAAAATAATAAATTAAATTAGCTTTGTCTTATGATATTATGGTGTGCAATATCATGAAATTATGTACTCTTTAAAAAGGGGTTTGGGTGGGGGCTAGGGGCTTGAGGGGTGAGATTAGCCTTAGGATTGCATCATATCAGAGACCATATAATAGACTATATATATATGGTCTCTGATCATTTTTTGTCGACCCACCCCCACCCCATATTACGTAACACTTTTAAACTATTTCATATTTCAAAAACGGCACCTCATTTGGTGAAAACGGCACCTCTATCTTTACAACGATAAGAACGATTTATTTAGTAGTATATATGCTTTATTTACATCTGTATTATTTTATGTTGTAGTCTATATGTTTTCCTTGGGCGGGGACACGGTCTGTTATCCGCAGAAACACTCTTTGTGATGTTGGCTCCCGACAGAAAGGGGAGATATGAAACATCTATTAAATCACTATTTATTTCATACTGACTAAAATGAATATTAAATATATGGTACCGTATACCCGTAGTCCAATTACTTGACATTTCGGCCAGACACCGTTTCAGCTTGACTGAGTTAATTTGAGTAAAGATATTTTAAAACTTCAAAGAATGTGATGTTTTCACCAAAAACTTTTTATAAGTTTAGATGCGCCTCCCAATCAGGGTCGGCGAGTAAATTGGAGTAGAGGCTAATTTCTAATGTAAACTTGTTTAAATGCTATTAACATTTCACAATTATTTGTGTTGCAAGTGACCATGTGAGTTTATTTTCACTTATTTTACTTCAAAGCATGTAATGTTTTCACAATAGGTTTAGTTAGATAGTTTTAATAATGGTTGATTCATTACTAGTCCCATGGGGGCGGTCGGGTAGCCTAGTGGTTAAAGCGTTCGCTCGTCACGCCGAAGACCCGGGTTCGATTCCCGACATTGGTACAATGTGTGAAGCCCATTTCTGGTGTCCCCCGCCGTGATATTGCTGGAATATTGCTAAAAGCGGCGTAAAACCAAACTCACTCACTCACTCACTAGTCCCATGCCTGTTACCCACGGCTAAATGGACTCAGCCCTCTTTTCACCCATTTGTCAGTAAGGAGTTAAAACAGAACAACACAAAATGTAACTGATATGTCTATTTACAGCCCTAACAAGTCAAATGACATGAGTCATATCAAGAAAATTCAGTCAATATCAGCACTGAAACATAACCTGTATATCAGCGTCATTTACAGCGCTATCAATTCAAATGAACATAAATCAGAGAGAGAGTAATAAAAACACTAAATATGTGTAAGCACACGAAAATGCTATCGGCACACAAGCAAGTCATTAAACCACTTCAGTGAGTTTGGTAACGTCATCATCTTTTCCAAGCCGCCCATAGTGGCCTCTTTTGCCACACATTGTCGTGTTTTGCCTGTTTTCACAGAACGGTTACTGAATGAAGTTTTTTTACTCCTGGTGTTGACAACCATTTGTGGAAGCCTCGGTGGCTGAGTGGGTTAGATCGCTGACTTTGTGTTCTGGCGATTTGGTGCCTCACTGTTGCAGTACGAGAATCTGTACTTTACTAAGAAAGTGTTATCCCAAATATAACATTTGTTACATCTGATCACTTTCTAAATGGCATTGTGTGTACATAATCATTTGTAAGGGTTTTTCAGATGCAATATGCCATTACATCATTATATATTACGCACTGCACTAGATGGTAAAACCCTACCCTGTGGAATGACTGGGTGTATTTACTGACAACTCCTAACAGTATGCATGAATGAAAATAGGATCGGTTCAGTTTATAGTTACAGTATAAAACATTTAGATATCAGATAAGTTGAATTTGTCTGATGGAAAACTTGCAGGGCCAGAGACTGATGACGTTTGGAGGTCGGGACGAAAGAGAACTATTCATGCGACTGTTGAGTGAGTGAGTGAATTTGGTTTAACGCCGATTTTAACAGTATTCCAGTCATATCACGGCGTGTCAGCTTAATGTGGGAGGAGTGAGTGAGTGAATGAGTTTGGTTTAACGCCTCTTTTAACAGTATTCCAGTTGTATCACGGCGTGTCAGCTTAATGTGGGAGGAAAGCCCGAAGTGATGCAGGTCTCAGACGTTTACCACTTCGGTGAAACCCACGAGCACGGGTATGGTGCTGACAAACCTAGAAACATAATCGGGGCGAACCGGGATTCGAACCCACAATCATAGGTTTCTGGCGTGCCCAAGGGACGCAACTCTGCACAGCGAATCGCGGCGCCTAAGACGACTGGGCCACCCGTGCCCCTGCGACTGTTGAATCTCTAAAATGTTGTTGTTAGTCCGTGCACCGAGGGTGACGTGGTGGTTCCACAGCAGGATGGGGTAGAGGGAGTCTTCGTCAACCCAAGTCGTAACCATGTAGTTGTTGTACTCGTTGGCCTTTATTCGCTATTTGAGGCGTTTAATGGAGGAAACACGGTAATGAAGTCTGAACCAGGAGAAAACAGTGATCGATATTAAGAACAAGATTCGATTCCCACTTTGGCACAATGTGTGAAGCCCATCTCTGGCGTCCCCCGCCGTGAAATTGCTGAAATATTGCTAAAAGCGGCGTAAAACCATACTCACTCACTATATCTTTTTTACCACCATCATCACTACATTTGTTGTCCTGGGGACATTTTTTATAATAAAAATGCATGTATTAAGGCTGTAGACTATATCGTTACGATAATTTATAACATTTCAAAAACGGTAAAGTTGTAGAATATATCCAAATCTAACTCACTCATTCCTCGCTCGACATTTCTGGCAGAAAACGCTTGAGTGAACTGGTTTCTGGTCTTTCAAGCGTATAATGTGTAGACGGAGCCAAGTCAAATTCGGTGCGGAAGCTCATGTGCGCTCGCGACTGAAAGTGCTTGTCCGAGAAACATGCCGATCTTACAAGGTCTCGTGCAATCGAAGAGGATATTATCACTGTGTACTTGCAGATGTGTGTGTAAAATAATAGCCAGTCAATGTAAATGGCCAGTCATCAGCCAAAGAAAACAGTCCGTCCTTGCACATGTTCGTGAATGGTCGAAGCAGCGCTCGCATAGGGAATCTAGACTTTATACAGTCTCCTTTAGGAATTTTAACAGCAGTTCACAACAAACTCCATTTCAACGTAAAATTCAGATTGCAACTTATATTTCTTGTGGTATTGGTGCTTGTTTGTTGTCTGCAATAGGATGGAGACAATATACACGGTTTACCCGTAAAGCTCGCGGCGCTGAAGCTATAAGAGATCAAGCAGTGACAGGTAGACAGATAATTTCCTACAGGTATCGTGGCTTCATCATCCCAGCCTTCATGGTGGATAACTTGGATGACCTGCACAGGTTCCAGGTTAGAGAGGAGGATATATGGATTGTCACGTTCCCTAAAGCTGGTGAGACACTCATTAAGGGCAAGTGTTGATTAGGGCTGGCTGGGACGAGTAACATATGAAAATTTTACCAAATCACTCCATGTCTGTTTGTTTGTTGCTTAACCATTTGTTAACTCCGCACTCAGCAGTATTCCAGCTATATGACAGCGGTCTGAAAATAATCGAGTCTGAACCAGACAATCCAGTGATTGATATGAGCATCGATCATGGGATAGGATGACATGCATCACCCAAGTCAGAAAGCCTGACCACCTGATCCCCTTAGTTGATTGTTACGGCAAACATGGATCAGTGACTAAACATTGTCACTGGGTTGAACACTTGTAAGTGTATCTCAACTGCATGGGATGTTGCTCATTACATCAATCACTGGTTTATTGGCCCAGGCATGAATATTTACAGACCACATCAAATCAAAAACAAAAAACATACAATTCTGTGGGGGAAACATATATTTTTGTCAATGTCATTCAATATCAAAATTTTAAATTATTATTGTAACTTCAAACATTCACCTTTTTTGAATAAGATGAATCAGAACAGTGGGCACTCCAGACATTTTCTGACTTTTTCACTCACTCACTCACTCACTCACTCACTCACTCACTCACATTCCCCAAATACCAGATTAATTTCTGATTAACTAAACTATGTTACGGTGGTTAAGGAAATGTTTTGCTTTTGTGGAAAATTGCTTAACTTAATGGGTGTGTTTTGTACTGAGATTAAGTAATAGAAAATAAATACCGTACACCATGCATTGGTGTATATTCTTCCTCTGAGTTTCAGGTACAACATGGCTCCAGGAAATCGTGTATCTTATTGCTAATGATCTCGACTTTGAGAAGGCACGGAGTAAAATCTTGGAGGAGAGGTTCCCATATCTGGAATTTGTCAACCCAGGAATGAAAGCTATTTCCAAAATGGAATCTCCAAGATTTATTAAAACACATTTACCCCCGTCACTATTGCCAAGAGAAGTTCACTCAAAGAACCCAAAGGTAATCCTGTATGGTCATTAAGTCCCTTTGTAAGTGACAATCATTAAATGTATGACATCCAGACGTGATCCTCAAAGCATTTGTAGATCTATGACAGTTGTAAGTCTGTTAACCTACAGAGCTACTGTAGTCATAGCGCTGTGAACACTTTGTGGATTGGGGACCAGGGCAAACATAAGCTATTTGTTTTACGAATGCAATATTTATTTGTTGCCTATTGCTACAACACGTTCTGAATTGGGTATGAAATCTTTAGAAGAAACTGCAAGTTTAAGCTTAGGCATATAAAACACATGTTTTAGGTATCATATATGCTGTTAGTAGGGCTGGCTAAAAAGATCGATAATATAAGTTGTAGCAGGATCACAAGGGGTACATTGGGTTTTATACATCTCGCGTTAGGTTTTATGCCATGAGCCCAAGGCGAGTGATATATAACCTAACGAGGGACACATTAAACTCCATGTACCATGAATTTATCTTACCAACATTTTTTTTATTGATGTAAAATAATTCAAATAAATTCAAAATTAATAAAAACCAGTGCTATGTGAAAAACAGTGCTATGTCACATGACATCCATTGGCTCGATAAAAAGCGTGCAGCTTTTTGCTTTGAAGCGGGGTATAAACATGATAAAGGATTTATTTGTCTCTCAGAAATGCACAAACAGCCTGTAGTGCTCGTGGCGGGGTATAAGAGATTTATTCCCCTGCTGAGAAATTTATTATCCTCCAAGGCGGGTTTCACAGTATTTTTTTCAATATCATGTGGACCAATCAGATCTCATCATTCTGACATGGAGGTATGATAATAAGAATTATCGTCTATGGGAAGAAATATTAACAATTATCGATATGAAAATTGTTTCATCAATAATATCTTAGACAAACTATTGTGATGAAATAAAGTTTTACCGGTAGTTTACTGAAGCAGACTTGTATTTGACCTTTGCCGAAGACGGCAAGCAACTGATTTTGTTATATCTTAAATGTCCACAAAGTAATCCAAGCATAAATGTGTCACCACTCACCAGTGACATGAAATGTTGTTTGGTCTCTGAGCTTTTTGCATATTTGCTCAAAGTTACTTCTCCAATATTTATCAATAATTAATCGTTATTTAGTTAACTATTTTTAATCTCTAAGATTTATATCTATAGCCAGCCCCAGCTATTAGGAGATATTAGGAGATATGTTTAAAAACAAAAAGTAAAACAAATTGAGGTGAACCCTCAACAAACTTTGAACGCCCAAAATGAAGGAAATATGGCTTCTTGAATCAATCAGATGTAGACTCATTTCTTTACCACCTCGATCTTAACCAAAGAAAACCAAAACAGAACTTGTATGTTCCCTTGTTGTACTTCTCATATATCTTATGCATTCTTGTGGGGGCAGTCGGTTAGCCTAGTGGTCAAAGCGTTTCCTTGTCACGCTGAAGACCCAGGTTCGATTCACGACATGGGTACAATGTGTGAAGCCCATTTCTGGTGTTCCCCATCATGATATTGCTGGAATATTGCTAACCGCGGCTTAAAACCATACTCACTCACTCACTCACTTTCTTGTGATTGATATACAGTTGAATAGTGAAGCAGAATGTTTTACATGTTATAACCACTGATAGTTAGTACACGTTTTATTTTTCTCTTGTCCAACATGTTGATATTGTCATTACTGTTGTCTAAAATATTTAGAACTTAGTCAATAAAGTAAGCATTTGCCAAAATGCTGCAAGCTGCGAAACTTTGTAGCTCTGTCTGTATTCAATGATAATCATGTTAAAGTATACATATCTGTCCCACTTCAGCTGATCTACCTGGCCCGGAACCCCAAGGACACGGTTGTGTCGTACTACCACTTCACCAAATCCCTCGCGACCATCAACTACTTTGGAGACTTCAGTGTTTTCTTTGACCAGTTCCTCAATGACAAAGGTCAGCCATCACAGCTCTACAACACTGTAGTACATTGCCATCATCATCAATACTTTTGTATTCACTAACCTTCTCAATTACCCATGATTACATACTGCCTCTATTTTCAACCAGTGAATGAAACCACAGCCTGGGTCTAGGGGAAAAAAACAGTGCATGCTCTAATCTTTCTTAAAAAAAACCCATTAAATATGTCTTCTCGAATTAAAGTTTTCTCATGCGACGTGTCATGGTTTTGATCATCTTCCCGAGGCAAGTGAGTTAACTGACTATAAAAGTCCAGTTTCCACCCTTGCCGAACTAGGCTGGTATTATGGAGTTACATTTTGGCTGGACTAACGAGTCTATGCATAGTCCAATCCAAATCTCGCACCGAAATCGAAATCCGGTTCGTAAAGTGTCATGCAGATTTCGGTCGACTGCAGGATTTGCAAAGCATGTGCACCGCTAACTTGTTGTCAACAGATATTTTCTAAATCTTTTCATGTTTTTAATCAAGGTGCTCACGTCATTTGATGCACTTCGCGATGTAGGATCGTTTTATCACAGTATAGATCTGGATTATCGATCAGATCGTCTTGACTGGGCGCCACCGTTTTGTTTGAAGCAAATGCAAGTTATACGAGAGGTTGAATCTGATTGGTCAATAGGAGAGGCATAGAAGGGACATAACTCGTAATAGCCACTGGTGGCGCTACGATCGTGCCCAGGAATTCCAGCCTAGTTCGGCAAGGGTGGAAACTGGACTTTTAAAGTCAGTTAACACTCCTGCCTCGGGAAGATGGGTTTTGATCTTTTTCCCAAGGTCATTACTCAAAATAACTCCAAATAGCCACTGGTGGCACTACGATTGAACCTGGAAGTTCCAGCCTAGTTTGGCAAGGGTGGAAACTGGACTTTTACAGTCAGTTTACGCCCTTGGCTCAGGATGATGGGTTTTGAAGCCATCTGCTTCAAACATTGCTTCCAGATGGGGAAACAGTTAGTCTGTCAATCTGTGCACAGAGTTATTTCATTTTCCTGAGTTATAGACTGCCTCATTTCATTACCTAAAAATAGACATGCCTCACTTCTACACCATAGCGGCCATATGGATTAAGTGATGGAGGAACTTATTGGGGCTGGGATGTGTAACTCGGGTACATGGACTGCGCAGTATTACCAGTATACTACTAGGCGCTATTCAAACTATACAGATTGCAATATTTCTTCTGTGTTCCAGTATATTTGGTAATATATAAATAAGAAATATTGCAATATGTATAGTTTGAATAACAGGTTTCATTTTGTTTGTATCATTTAACCTAAAATTTATTCACAAATGATGTTTCCCTTTGAAGTTGATTGACAAAATGGCAAAAATGCAAGGTGAATGTTCAGTCACGGCAGTGACTAAGCATGATATTTACTTTAGTGTGTAGAAGAAAGCATCTGCATGCACAATCAGCAAGGCCGTAGTTAACTTTTTTTGACAGGGGGGGGGGGCAAATATTTGTACAAGTATCACTTGTCCCAACTTGATTCAAGTAAAACTGTTCTCTATTAAAAAAATCTAGGGGGGGCAACTGCCCCCCCCTGCCCTCCCCTCTATATACTCTGAAACGTTGTGTCACCTGATGAAGGAGTAAGTATATAGTCTGAAACGTTGTGTCACCTGATGAAAGAGTAAGTATATAGTCTGAAACGTTGTGTCACCTGATGAAGGAGTAAGTATATACTCTGAAACGTTGTGTCACCTGATGAAAGAGTAAGTATATAGTCTGAAACGTTGTGTCACCTGATGAAGGAGTAAGTATATACTCTGAAACGTTGTGTCACCTGATGAAGGAGTAAGTATATACTCTGAAACGTTGTGTCACCTGATGAAGGAGTAAGTATATAGTCTGAAACGTTGTGTCACCTGATGAAGGAGTAAGTATATAGTCTGAAACGTTGTGTCACCTGATGAAGGAGTAAGTATATACTCTGAAACGTTGTGTCACCTGATGAAGGAGTAAGTATATAGTCTGAAACGTTGTGTCACCTGATGAAAGAGTAAGTATATAGTCTGAAACGTTGTGTCACCTGATGAAGGAGTAAGTATATACTCTGAAACGTTGTGTCACCTGATGAAAGAGTAAGTATATAGTCTGAAACGTTGTGTCACCTGATGAAGGAGTAAGTATATACTCTGAAACGTTGTGTCACCTGATGAAGGAGTAAGTATATACTCTGAAACGTTGTGTCACCTGATGAAGGAGTAAGTATATAGTCTGAAACGTTGTGTCACCTGATGAAGGAGTAAGTATATAGTCTGAAACGTTGTGTCACCTGATGAAGGAGTAAGTATATACTCTGAAACGTTGTGTCACCTGATGAAGGAGTAAGTATATACTCTGAAACGTTGTGTCACCTGATGAAGGAGTAAGTATATACTCTGAAACGTTGTGTCACCTGATGAAGGAGTAAGTATATAGTCTGAAACGTTGTGTCACCTGATGAAGGAGTAGTATATAGTCTGAAACGTTGTGTCACCTGATGAAGGAGTAAGTATATACTCTGAAATGTTGTGTCACCTGATGAAGGAGTAAGTATATAGTCTGAAACGTTGTGTCACCTGATGAAGGAGTAGTATATACTCTGAAATGTTGTGTCACCTAATGAAGGAGTAAGTATATAGTCTGAAATGTTGTGTCACCTGATGAAGGAGTAAGTATATAGTCTGAAACGTTGTGTCACCTAATGAAGGAGTAAGTATATAGTCTGAAATGTTGTGTCACCTGATGAAGGAGTAAGTATATAGTCTGAAACGTTGTGTCACCTGATGAAGGAGTAAGTATATAGTCTGAAACGTTGTGTCACCTGATGAAGGAGTAAGTATATACTCTGAAATGTTGTGTCACCTGATGAAGGAGTAGTATATACTCTGAAATGTTGTGTCACCTGATGAAGGAGTAAGTATATAGTCTGAAACGTTGTGTCACCTAATGAAGGAGTAAGTATATAGTCTGAAATGTTGTGTCACCTGATGAAGGAGTAAGTATATAGTCTGAAACGTTGTGTCACCTGATGAAGGAGTAAGTATATAGTCTGACTTGTTGTGTCACCTAATGAAGGAGTAAGTATATAGTCTGAAATGTTGTGTCACCTGATGAAGGAGTAAGTATATACTCTGAAACGTTGTGTCACCTGATGAAGGAGTAAACATATACTCCGAAATGTTGTGTCACCTGATGAAGGAGTAAGTATATAGTCTGAAATGTTGTGTCACCTGATGAAGGAGTAAGTATATAGTCTGAAACGTTGTGTCACCTGATGAAGGAGTAAGTATATAGTCTGAAACGTTGTGTCACCTGATGAAGGAGTAAGTATATACCCTGAAACGTTGTGTCACCTAATGAAGGAGTAAGTATATAGTCTGAAATGTTGTGTCACCTGATGAAGGAGTAAGTATATACTCTGAAACGTTGTGTCACCTGATGAAGGAGTAAACATATACTCCGAAATGTTGTGTCACCTGATGAAGGAGTAAGTATATACTCTGAAATGTTGTGTCACCTGATGAAGGAGTAGTATATACTCTGAAACGTTGTGTCACCTGATGAAGGAGTAAGTATATACTCTGAAACGTTGTGTCACCTGATGAAGGAGTAAGTATATACTCTGAAACGTTGTGTCACCTGATGAAGGAGTAAACATATACTCCGAAATGTTGTGTCACCTGATGAAGGAGTAAGTATATAGTCTGAAATGTTGTGTCACCTGATGAAGGAGTAAGCATATACTCTGAAACATTGTGTCACCTGATGAAGGAGTAAGTATATATTCTGTAACATTGTGTCACCTGATGAAGAAGTAAGTATATACTCTGAAACATTGTGTCACCTGATGAAGGAGTTAGTATATACTCTGAAACATTGTGTCACCTGATGAAGGAGTTAGTATGTACTCTGAAACATTGTGTCACCTGATGAAGGAGTTAGTATATACTCCGAAATGTTGTGTCACCTGATGAAGGAGTAAGAATATACTCTGAAACATTGTGTCACCTGATGAAGGAGTAAGCATATACTCTGAAACACTGTGTCACCTGATGAAGGAGTAAGTATATACTCTGAAACGTTGTGTCACCTGATGAAGGAGTTAGTATATACTCTGAAACGTTGTGTCACCTGATGAAGGAGTAAGTATATAGTCTGACTTGTTGTGTCACCTGATGAAGGAGTAAGTATATAGTCTGAAACGTTGTGTCACCTGATGAAGGAGTAAGTATATAATCTGAAATGTTGTGTCACCTGATGAAGGAGTAAGTATATAGTCTGAAATGTTGTGTCACCTGATGAAGGAGTAGTATATACTCTGAAACATTGTGTCACCTGATGAAGGAGTAAGTATATACTCTGTAACATTGTGTCACCTAATGAAGGAGTTAGTATATAGTCTGAAATGTTGTGTCACCTGATGAAGGAGTAAGTATATAGTCTGACTTGTTGTGTCACCTGATGAAGGAGTAAGTATATAGTCTGAAACGTTGTGTCACCTGATGAAGGAGTAAGTATATAATCTGAAATGTTGTGTCACCTGATGAAGGAGTAAGTATATACTCTGAAACGTTGTGTCACCTGATGAAGGAGTAAGTATATAGTCTGAAATGTTGTGTCACCTGATGAAGGAGTAGTATATACTCTGAAATGTTGTGTCACCTAATGAAGGAGTAAGTATATAGTCTGAAATGTTGTGTCACCTGATGAAGGAGTAAGTATATACTCTGAAATGTTGTGTCACCTGATGAAGGAGTAGTATATACTCTGAAACGTTGTGTCACCTGATGAAGGAATAAACGTTACTCTGAAACGTTGTTTTCATGATCATAAGGAAGTTGACATCTTCTCTTCCTTATTACACACAGTGTTGTGCTGTTGGATATTTGAAAATCTTTATGCATGTTTGTGTGCAAGCAAGTCAAAATTAATTGTGTTAGGGTTCTTTGTTTTGCATATTTGTACACAAATACACTTCACATACAGTGTTTGTTTGTCAGCGATTTACGGCCCCTGGTGGAAGCATGTGAAGGAGGGATGGAACTTGAGAGACAAGGACAATGTCCTGTTTCTCACCTATGAAGATCTGCATAAGGTCAGTAAACAAGTCTTGCACCGAAAAAAGAAACTTTTGAGTTAAAATGTTTATTGTACTTCAGTCCTACCAACCGAAACCACTCCTCTGTGTTTATGCATGCGCACGTGTACATACGCGAGCATGTGTGTGTTCAGCCGTGATGTTGTGTCTGCAGGAGACTGTTTGAGGAGCTTCACCAGCAGCACCAGCAGCACCAGACACAAACATGTGAAATAGTTTATCATTTGCCACCCCTGTGTTTACTTAGAACATACTTACTCACTCACTCACTCAACATTTACAAAGTGAGCACACTCCATCATGACAATGTTTGAATATTGGTAAATATATGGCGTAAACCATACTCACTCACTTTATCACAACTTCAGGATACTAGAGGCTGTATTCGCACTGTGGCCAACTTCCTGGGAAAGTCTCTGAGTGACCAACAGGTGGAGACACTGGCCAGACACGTGACCTTTGCCAGCATGAAGGTCAACCCGAGTGTCAACTACAGTTGGTGGGCGGGATGGGCCGTCAAAGAGGCCCACGAGAATCAGTTCTTTAGGAAAGGTGAGGAGACAAAAGCCATGGATTTTTTCACCTCTTATTTTCATAAACATTACTCCTTTCCAGAACGACCCACACTGCCCACTTGAGGCTTAAGAAAATAGTTTTGGTTCTAGTTTCCACACAATCATTTTTAAGGCAACAGGCATGATGGATTGTTAATCAGTACACACAGGCAGTGTTTCTGTCTATACACAGAACTGGAGGAGGTGCACAGGTCACATCTCTCTTAAAGCATGCTACGCATTTATACACAATGTACGTTTAGAAATTCTACAGATCATCATGGGCTCTCAGTGTAATACTATTGCATCATTTACAACTCATTCAGTGATATGGTTTCATCAAAACTTCACGATTACAAAACATGAATTGTTAAGTTTTAATATTAAAAGCACCACATTTTACTGAAGTGAATCTTTCAAGTCATAACAGATGAATTATAGTCATAAGAAAAAAATCAGGTGTCCTTTAACTTCTTCATTATAAATTAGTAGTATATATTACTGACTGATATATGTATTTTAAGTTTAATGCCATTTAGGACGGCATTCATTCTTAGTTTGAAAGCAAAACTCAAAGCAAATATGTGAACATAACTCTTCTGGAGAAATGTAGACTTGGACTACTATATAATGAAGTTACTGGCTCAGAGTATTTATCTCCAATCTCATTAAAATCAGAACTTAGTTCTCGCTATCGCCAAACAAAGATCTGAGGACATCCCATTACGGGTCACGTCAGACCGACCTTTCTTCCTATGAAAGCTTCGCTTACCAGATCGTGAAAGTGACAATCGGAATGTGTTTTCTAATCATGCAACCTTGAAAACGTTAACACAGGGTATTCCGAATGACAGTTACGGCCCATACGACTGATTCCGTCAAAATTATCGTCTATCTCTCGCTTACGTTGGGATAAACATTTGAGCGGAGGAGTCGTTGCACAGTACGTGGGAAGCACTGCAATACAATGTCAACCATATATTAGACATTCTGGAATGTTCGTTTGTTCAGTTTTCAATATCTTAATCAAGAACGGTGTCAACATATTTTTCAATCGTCGTCTGAAATTGAAGTCGCCAGGTTGAAATAAGTGCCGTGAAGCTCGAGAAAGTTGCTTTTTAATTGGCTGATGGCTGATGTCGACTTCTTGTTAGTCATTTCAGTGGTCGGTCAGAGTTCGGGAATGGTCGTTCTGACATGACCCGTAATGGTATGTCCTCAGATCTTTGTTTAGCGGCAGCGAAAAGTAAGATCTGATTTTAATGAGATTGGTTTATCTCTCTCTGACTTGAAAATTATGATTCTATGTTCCATGATAAACTTCAGAAAATGGAACTTCTTATGAGTCGAAGCTCACATAAAAATCCTCATGTTAAGGGGAGATAAATCTTCCTTCCTTCACTGCTGAAGAGACTGTCGTCTCCTCAACACCTGGTGGCCCATGACAGGGAGTATTGGAAATTCGTAAAAATTAATGGATTTTGTGTTTGAAAAAGCAATTGACAATCGATTAATGATTAATCCTAAATCCAAATATAAAATATAAATGAGAGCAATATTTCACTGAATTTGTCATGTAAATAACAAAAAATACAAGAATATTATTCCTCATACGATTGTATTAATAAATTGTATTATTTCCCACAAAATAATTAGAATTAACTTATGTCACTGGAGATTAATAAATCACAAACTTCATGATCAATTCTCTTCTTTTAATGAAATCAATCAGAATTATTACGATGGCTCAAAATGGCAATGCACACCATCTTCTATTCTTGTTAACATTTCCATAGTTTGGGATATTTAAGTATTTATGGAGCCATTGGATTTTATCCAAAAAATAAATTGTCCCTGAAGTTACTTGAAAAAAATAATAATGCTTCAGACAAAAAAATTGATTTTTGCAAGGTGTTTTCCCAAGAGAAAAAATCTGGTCATAAAAAACTAAAAACATATGTGCTTTTGGAGCTAAAGCTGAGAAAATATCTAATCTTGATACAATATCCCAAGTCTCCATACCCCCAAGCTTGTGTTCACCAGATGCTTTGTTGACATATTGCCTGTGTTGACCAGATGCTTTGTTGACATATTGCCTGTGTTGATCAGATGCTTTGTTGACATATTGCTTGTGCATGTTGACATATTGCCTTTGTTAACAAGATGGTATGTTGACATATTGCCTGTGTTGACCAGATGGTATGTTGACATATTGCCTGTGTTGACCAGATGGTATGTTGACATATTGCCTATGTTGACCAGATGGTATGTTGACATATTGCCTGTGTTGACCAGATGGTATGTTGCCATATTGCCTGTGTTGACCAGATGGTATGTTGCCATATTGCCTGTGTTGACCAGATGGTATGTTGCCATATTGCCTGTGTTGACCAGATGGTATATTGACATATGACCTATGTTGACCAGATGGTATTTTGACATATTGCCTGTGTTGACCAGATGGTATATTGACATATTGCCTGTGTTGCCCTGATGGTATGTTGCCATATTGCCTGTGTTGCCCTGATGGTATGTTGCCATATTGTGTGTGTTGCCCTGATTGTATGTTGCCATATTGCCTGTGTTGCCCTGATGGTATGTTGACATATGGCCTGTGTTGACCAGATGGAATGTTGACATATTGCCTATGTTGCCCTGATGGTATGTTGCCATATTGCCTGTGTTGCCCTGATGGTATGTTGACATATGGCCTGTGTTGACCAGATGGAATGTTGACATATTGCCTATGTTGCCCTGATGGTATTTTGACATATTGCCTGTGTTGACCAGATGGTATATTGACATATTGCCTGTGTTGACCAGATGGTATGTTGACATTGCCTTTGTTGACCAGATGGTATGTTGATATATTGCCTGTGTTGACCAGATGGTATGTTGACATATTGCCTGTGTTGACCAGATGGTATATTGACATATTGCCTGTGTTGCCGTGATGTTATGTTGACATATTGCCTGTGTTGACCAGATGGTATGTTGACATTTTGCCTGTTACCCAGGTATTGTTGGAGACTGGACTAGCCATTTGACCCCGGAGATGAGCCGTCAGATTGATGACATGGTGGCCGAGAAGCTGCAGGGGACTCAGCTGGTGTTGGAGGACATGCCTCTATCCAGACAAGCTTCATAGACAGTCACAGCTGATCCTCAGCTAGATGAACAGTGTGGACCGACAACAATTAAACCATGGCATGTTGAAACCACTCAGTTTGTGTTAATTTATGATGAATGTTCCAAGTCAAGTCCAAGACTTGGCCACGACAGAACATGAAACATATTGATGTGACCTGAGCCAAACCAGGTACATGTTGATGTGACCAGAGCCAAACCAGGAACATCTTGATGTGATCAGAGCCAAACCAGGAACATCTTGATGTGACCAGAGCCAAAGATGAAACTTCTGCAGTGATCAGAGCCAAACATGAAACATCTTGATGTGACAAGAGCCAAACCAGGAACATCTTGATGTGACCAGAACCAACCAAGGAACATCTTGATGTAACCAGAGCCAAACCAGAAACATCTTTATTCGACTAGAGCCAAACCAGGAACATCTTCATGTGACCAGAGCCAACCAAGGAACATCTTCATGTGACCAGAGCCAAACAAGGAACATCTTGATGTGACCAGAGCCAACCAAGGAACATCTTTATGTGACCAGAGCCAACCAAGGAACATCTTTATGTGACCAGAACCAAACCAGGAACATCTTTATGTGACCAGAGCCAAACCAGGAACATCTTCATGTGACCAGAGCCAACCAAGGAACATCTTCATGTGACCAGAGCCAAACAAGGAACATCTTCATGTGACCAGAGCCAACCAAGGAACATCTTTATGTGACCAGAGCCAACCAAGGAACATCTTTATGTGACCAGAGCCAACCATGAACATCTTGATTCGACTAGAGCCAAACCAGGAACATGTTCATGTGACCAGAGCCAAACATGAAGTGTCTGCAGTGACCAGAGCCAAACCAGGAACATATAGATGTGACCAGACCCAAACCAGGAATATGTTGATGTGACCAGAGCCAAAACCAGGAACATCTTGGTGTGTCCAGAGCCAAAACCAGGAACATCTTGGTGTGACCAGACCCAAACCAGGAACATGTAGATGTGACCAGACCCAAACCAGGAACATCTTGGTGTGACCAGAGCCAAAACCAGGAACATCTTGGTGTGTCCAGACCCAAAACCAGGAACATCTTGATGTGACCAGAGCCAAACCAGGAACATGTAGATGTGACCAGACCCAAACCAGGAAGATCTTGTCGTGACCAGAGCCCAAACCAGGAAGATCTTGGTATGACCTGTGCCAAATCAGGAACATCTTGATGTCTGTGATCACATTTTGTAGGCTTTTGGTGTATAGTGGTACATCTATCTGTTCATGAATATTTAAGCACAGAAATAGTTAGTGAAGTTTACTTACTTAGTGCATTTCACTGTCCAGTAACTTGTTAGGAGATTTTACTTACCAGTTAGTAATTGTCTGCTACATGGACTAGTATAGTTGGTCTATCATAGCCCAGTACAATTTACTAAATCAGTTTGTGAGATTACTATCTATCTTCCAAAGAATCTTCTTGCGAAAAACAAATAAACAACATAAACAATACAGGGAATGATAACATTTAGTGATTTTCAGTGGCATTTTAGGTCTATTTGCAAAATACTACAAAAAAAGTAATTGACAGGTAAATGAAATAAACAAATACTGTTTTACCCAGGCAAACTTAACAAACCTCCCTTCTTCATCGTGTACATGCTATAAAAGTTCTTAAGTTTGTCAGTCTTGAAGAAATTACATTAACACTGTCACAAAGTCATGACATCAATCACTGGATTGTCTGGTCCAGTATTTACAGTCCGTTGTCAAATAGCTGGAATATTGCTGAGTTCCGTGTTAAACAACAAAACAAACAATAAAAACCATACACTCATAATCATCTACATGGCAGAGCAAGGCGGAAGTGAGGAATGTTAGGAGGTCTTGCCACCAAAACTGAATTAAAACATCTGTAATGTTCATTGTCATTTGGCTAGGCTCTACCACCGCCTTGTGCAATCTACCAGGCAAGATAGTTAAATCGCAGTTTACAAACCTTCTGGTCGCTGTTACTCATTAAATCAGTAGAATTCACTTTTCTCTCCGTGAGATGTGTTATAAAATATTTCCTTGTTGCTTTATTGTCCATCCTAGACTTTAGTGGGTAGGACAAGAGGATGACCTGTGAAGATGGAATAGGTCTTCAGCAACCAATGCTTGCGGTAAGAGGCAACTAACGGGATTGGGTGAGGCTGGCTGATTTGGTTGATGCATGTCATCGTATCCCAATTGCGTGGATCGATGCTCATGATGTCAGTCACTGGATTGTCTGGTCAAGACTCAATTGTTTACAGACTGCCATCATATAGCTGGAATATTGTGCAGTGTTAAACAACAAACAAACAAACAAAAGAGGATGTGCAGTCGTCTTTGCAAGGTGAGCTATAATCTGTGACTTGAGTGGGGAATCTTCACGTCTCCTTCGTAAGAACCAACTCAAAGGTGAATCGGTAACAGTGTGTCACCTGATTGTGTGTCACGTTACCCGAACGACTTTGATCAATGGTAATGTCTTCCGTCATTGGCCTAGTCCAGTTAAGGCTTGTTGCAGATCCTTTAAAGAACTGTTATAGGCGTCCTAAAACAACTTTTGCTGATTCACTCAATCGCTGACAATCTGAAGACCTATCGTGACTCTCCGTACGTCTAGCTGTTGACAAGGTTTAGGTAAACTGCAGTACCTTCGCCTCGTGGTCTAGTCCAGAGAGCTGAGGGGTCACTGGTTCGATCCCCAACCATAAATATTATACCTAGCTTTAATACGTCCATTTACGTCTTTATCTAAAGGGGGGCCGGTCGGGTAGCCTAGTGGTTAAAGCGTTCGCTCGTCACGCCTAAGACCCGGGTTCGATTCCTGACATGGGTACAATGTGTGAAGCCAATTTCCGGTTACTCACGCACTCACGCACTCACGCACTCACTCACTCTGTATCTAAAGGACCAGCAGGACACTAGTAACACCCTGAATTGTTGAACATTCTGCCCTGGTCAAACAGCGGTGATTGAATGGCCTGGAATACTACGGGCTTTTATTGGAGTCACTTTGACCTCAAGATTTCAAATTTGTGACAAATTTCGAACCGCAGATCTTATTCTAAATAATTGCAGGACAGATTAACTATAGTAACATGAAAGAATCGGGTGTCCTTTCACTTTTGAGTATTAATTATGACAACTAGTCTGTGTTCTCTCAAATATTTGCAAGCTTCGGAATATATAAACATACTGACGATGTGAGTGACATAGTTTAAGCCAGTGTTAAGCCATTTGCATGTATACGTGAAAAGAAACACTTTCGAATTTGAAACTATTAAGTTGCGTTTAAGTCTCCGTTGCTTTTAAGCTTCATTGCATATACGACAACCAAAGCCCTAAGCTTTTGGAGCAGTATGTGTATATGTCCCTGTTTAGTGACTGGGTTGGGTTTAACCGCGCATTGGGGCGGTCGGGTAGCCTAGTGGTTAAAGCGTTCGCTCGTCACGCCGAAGACCCGGGTCCGATTCCCGACATGGGTACAATGTGTGAAGCCAATTTCCGGTGTCCCCCGCCGTGATATTGCTGGAATATTGCTAAAAGCGGCGTAAAACCATACTCACTCACTCACTTAACCGGGCATTAAACGGGATTGCAGCTACATCAGGATATGTCCGCTTGTCATGTTAGAAAACCACATAGCCGCACGTAGACGTTTACCACCGGCACATGAAGGTATTTAGCTGACAAACCAAACCTCACAGTCAAATCGAAAAATGTAAATCCTGGCATTACCAAGGGAACCAACTCTGCAACGATTTAGACCACATGGCCACGGGTGCTGCCAATTTCTAACATTCATTTAACAAACGTTACATAAAACTCAAATGCTTTTTGTCATTTCCCTGATCTGGTCGGTCATACGATACTGAGGATGTTATTCCCAAGCTGATTCCTCATTGTCGTAAACTTAAGACACATAATCCACAGCTAATTGCCTCGTGCACTCTCTATGAGACAATCTGAGCCCTGGACAGCGTTGTATTAAGCCTATTGGGAAGATGGATAAAGGTGGTTATGTATCTTATGGTGGTTTGTTCGGTGTCATGTGGACTAATTTGCAGAACTAACTGTCCTTTACGTAACAACACAGCGATCACAAGTAATGTCATTTTCTGGATAGAAGCATTTAGCTGGGTGTTTGGTAACAAATGGTTCGATAAGTCGTCTTCATTGATACAGGTTTGGGCTTCCAGTAATCGAATTATCCTGGCTCGCAGTGTGTGCGTATGACATATTGGACTTGAAATGTTGTGAACTTTTCGAAATGTTAAAGTTTTACAGATGACAGGTTTTTCCATCGCTGTGTTGATGGATATTCAATTTACATCTCTTTGAAATTGGATTCATGTTTTCTCACTGGAATATTTCATTGTTAATCATGTTAAACAATGCAGCTCTGTATCCGTTGTTATAACAACAGAAATTATTGTCTAAGAACTGTATAAAATGAAAGTCAAATGACACAACTCTTCCCCGCCACGAAGTGGGGCGGAGATGTGGGTACGGATTCAATCCGTCCGCACATGCGATTTCAATCGGGACACGCATTTTCAGAAACCGCTGTGAAAGCAATGATGACATTTTGCATAAATCACGAGGATAAAATGTAGATGAAGTTCGAAAACCAGACTCGAGAAAGAATAATTTACGTTAAGCTACAAAATACATAAAAAATGATCATGATCTTAATATCAAACAGCGAAAGACAGAAGACAACCAGAGACACTAAAATAAGTGGTGGGGACACAGAAAAGGAAAGTTAGGAATGGCGGAATTCGGTACCGGGGGAGAGCAATGACCCTCGAGGTTTGAAATGACTTGCGCGACGATGAGAAATATTTCTTTCTTTATTGCTTTGGCCTCATGGCCCTGATAAATCTTTTGGATAGTGTGCGCAGTACCACCGTCTTCTCTGAAATCACTAGATGACATCTTGAATACATCATTGAGGGATGAATATGTTATCTGGAAACCGCCATCGAGAAATAATATTGAATGCCCCTTGATTCTAATTACCTCTCGACCAATCAGTTTTTTATCAATTGTAAAAAATCATGGATATACGGATGACCATGTCTTGTTCTTGTAGTCTTTTCCCGTGTTCGAGTCCCCAGTTCCCATGTGTGTATAAAGTGTGATTAGCTGTCAATGAGTAAAGGCCTAAATTAGCAATGTTTCAGCCATTTCGTGAAGGGAGATTTCAATACCATACAAAACGTATATAACTAACACATTTTTAACGAACAGACTGATATAACGAAATGTTGTTGTTTTTGTCGTGGCCATTTGCTGTATATTTTATCATATAGAATTTATGAATAAAACGGATATAGCGAACACACTTTGTGGTCTGGTGTGTACTCTGTTTATGTTCAGTGCGACATGTTTATGTCAGAGATGCTGGGACAATTTGATACCGAAAGTATCAAAGTTACAAAGACCGCCTCCGTGGTGTATTCTGTCCGGAGAGCGGAAGGTCTGGGGTTCGATCCACGGCAGCGTCATCCCAAAAGGCCTTAAAAGATGGTTGTTGTTGTTACCCTGTCTGGCGCTCGGCATTAAGGGGCTAAAACAAGGACTGGTCGGCTCGGAGTCAGTATACCGTGTCTGAGTGGGGTATTCATGTCAAACTGCGGCATGGTATATCAGTGGGCTCGCACTATAAAATTGGCTTCAGTCTGGACTAGTACAAGCAGCCACAAACACACACACATACACACACACACACACACACACA